CTGATGTGCGCAAGAAGATGTGAGTTATTCAAATGATTTAACCGATCCTTCATTTTTTTATTTAAAATTGATTCGCCTTTTGTTCTGGATTACAGTAATTGACTTTGAAACGTAGAGTTGTATGGTTTATAGATTCGAAGTTTCAACTTTTGATTTGCATAGTTTCTCTTGATTGATGAACAAAGCGATCGTCTGGTCTAGTCTGATCTGCAAAATGGAAGAGGTCTCACTTCACATCTCGATCGTCTTAGTTCAGAAATCTGTTTAATTGAAGTTTTGGTCATTATGAACGACAATTAGAAAACAATCTCTAAGTTGTTTTGCAAGAAGAGCTTGATTATGCAATCTCTAAATTTTGATCTTGTTCATTTTTCCTTTGTTGTGTTTGTTATTTGATGGAAAACATTGAGGTAAATGATTTTTGATAGATATATATGTTTTTTTGTTCAGTGATTACTCGATGCAGTTGAATGCCTCAAGGATCAAAGTTCTTCAAGCGCAGGATGATATTGTTAATGCCATGAAAGACCAAGCAGCAAAGGATCTTCTGAATGTGAGTCGTGATGAGTACGCCTACAAACAGCTTCTGAAGGATCTGATTGTTCAGGTTTGTATCTAAACAAAACAGAAACTCCTTCACACTTCTCGATACATTCAGATATTAGAACTTTCTATTGTAAATCCTACTGGCTCTTTTTCATGCATCTATCTGATCGTGTGCCTGATGGCAATCCTATTCTTTTGTTTTCTGACTCCTTTTGCCTAGTGGCGTGGATGTCATTGTTCATTTCAAAACTATATTTTTGGTCTGTTAAAGATTCTTTCTCGTATTGTTGTTGCAGTGCTTGCTTCGTTTGAAAGAACCTTCTGTGTTGTTGCGTTGTCGTGAAGAGGACTTGGGTTTAGTTGAATCTATTCTTGATGACGCAAAGAAGGAGTATGCTGGTAAAGCAAAGGTTCATGCTCCAGAGGTTGCTGTTGACACACAAATCTTCCTTCCCCCTCCTCCTAAATCTAATGATCCCCATGGTCTCCACTGGTAAAATTCGTGTTTCTCATCATTACTTTACAGTACACAGAAAAGTAGCTTATATCCCGTAGAGAAGGACATTATCGGTGTTTAGATCCGGCTTGATATAGCTTTATGTATGTTGTAGCTCTGGAGGTGTTGTGTTAGCTTCTCGTGATGGGAAAATAGTGTGCGAGAACACACTTGATGCGCGTCTTGATGTCGCTTTCCGTATGAAACTTCCAGTGGTATGAATAACAAATAGTAGACCCGCATTGATTCTTTTCAGTTTGATTACTGTGATCCATCAGTCACTGTTCTAGTTTTACTTTGATTCTCTGATTCACCCATTTTTTCTGGACAGATCCGTAAGTCGTTGTTCGGCCAAGTTGCTGCGTAATGAATGAAAGAAACAGAGAGAGATGTGATTCAAACCGGTTTGTGTTTGGTTATTAAGCCATTTGGGAAGATTTGTCTTTGTTGTGATTCTTTTTACTCTGTAAACTTTTACTTTGATGGCAAACTCATCCAACTATTCGTTTTCGCATGTCTTTTTTTCCTACTTTTGAGTGTTATCATGGCTATAAAAAATAAATAAAGAGATGCAAGACTTCTTTTTCTCACTTATAAAGTTGTATTTTATCTTATGAAATTATATTTTTGTAAGCAATTTTTTGCCATATAGATTCATATGGCTAGACGTGGATGCCAAAGTATATTCATTGAGAGTCAGTAATAAGATCTTGTTTTTGTCAAATTAAGAAAGTGCATCCGAAGATTAGATGTACAATGAAATATTGGATATTTTTGTGGATGCATTTTGTGCGTCCAAAATTACCAAAAAATAAAAATACTTTCATTCATAACTATAATTTAAATGATTTCTATTTTATAAAAATAAATGTTTTATCAAAATAACAAACAAATTTGCGCCGGAAATTGCAAAATCATGTATTTTGAGTTGGAAATGGAATTGTAGACCTGTATTTTGACGCCAAATTTACAAAATCAGAGATACA